TCACTAATGCTATGTTCCTTCTCCAATACTCCCACTATCCTATCGTTCAGCAGCTTACAGAACACTTTTCCTACTGTGTTCAACAGTGTGATCCCCCTGTAGTTTCCTGGGTCAGTCTTGTCTCCTTTCTTAAACAAGTTCACAACCACTCCTTCCCTCCATCTACTTGGCGTATACTCGTTTTTCCACACCCAATTGTATAGCAGTACCATCAGCTGGATCATCCCCTTCCCCCCAAACTTCATGAACTCGTTGAGTAAATGAGGGGGTGTGATAAAAAGGGGGTGTGATAGCACGTCCGAACAGCCACAGGGTATGTTTGGGGGTGTGATAAATGAGGGGTGTGATAAAAAGGGGGTGTGATAGCACGTCGAACCACCCACAGGGTATGTTTGGGGGTGTGATAAAAGGGGGTGTGATAGCACGTCCGAACAGCCACAGCGTATGTTTGGGGGTGTGATAAATAAGGGGGTGTGATAAAAAGGGGGTGTGATAGCACGTCGAACCACCCACAGGGTATGTTTGGGGGTGTGATAAAAGGGGGTGTGATAGCACGTCCGAACAGCCACAGCGTATGTTTGGGGGTGTGATAAATAAGGGGGTGTGATAAAAAGGGGGTGTGATAGCACGTCGAACCACCCACAGGGTATGTTTGGGGGTGTGATAAAAGGGGGTGTGATAGCACGTCCGAACAGCCACAGCGTATGTTTGGGGGTGTGATAAATAAGGGGGTGTGATAAAAAGGGGGTGTGATAGCACGTCGAACCACCCACAGGGTATGTTTGGGGGTGTGATAAAAGGGGGTGTGATAGCACGTCCGAACAGCCACAGCGTATGTTTGGGGGTGTGATAAATAAGGGGGTGTGATAAAAAGGGGGTGTGATAGCACGTCGAACCACCCACAGGGTATGTTTGGGGGTGTGATAAAAGGGGGTGTGATAGCACGTCCGAACAGCCACAGCGTATGTTTGGGGGTGTGATAAATAAGGGGGTGTGATAAAAAGGGGGTGTGATAGCACGTCGAACCACCCACAGGGTATGTTTGGGGGTGTGATAAAAGGGGGTGTGATAGCACGTCCGAACAGCCACAGCGTGTGTTTGGGGGTGTGATAAATGAGGGGGTGTGATAGCCATGCCTGCACGTACACGTGCAGTGTAGAGACCTACCTAAAGGGAAAAACAAAGGGGCTCAACAGAGATGACGAAACTCCTGAGCACATTACCTCGGCGATATCTCAACCCTCTCATAGCCAAAAAAAGTTTGAAACAAAATACGGGCTTGAATCGAGCAAAAAGAAATTAAAAATCGAAGGTACCTCGACCGACACAATGATTGGCGGTGGCCACAGACTGCGTGAGCCATCCTTCCTGCCCCCCTCACAAAAACGTTTGCTGCTGCTTGCCTTGCTTTGGGTACGGCGAAAAGAGAGCTACGCAAAGGCACCACGAACAAGAATCAACGACCACAAACCGCAAATCTACACTGAATACGAGACACAACGACGTTGCACTCCACGTGGCGAAGAAAACAGCCGACAGCTTCTTCACACCCACTCAAAGAAGACGGAAGGAACAGAAAGGTACGCCTGGAAAAACCCGAGGAAACATGAGAAGGACACCACAAGCCATTTCTCCCCGAAGAAATTCGGATTGAGTTCGACAGCCTTGTTCTTGATCATCTTCGTCGAAACACGGGCGGAGATGCCTTCAGAACGCGGCTCGTTGACCCAGTCCATGACCTCACGCTCGGCCGCCGTGTGCGTCCTGATCCGTCCGGCGTTCAGCGACAAGCGGTTGTTGGCTCTATTCTTGCGCTTCGCTCCTCCCTTGTACGTGTCCGCTTCCGCCAGCGCGGCTTCGTACTTGGCGACGTTCTTGAACCACGCCGCCAACGTCGCCTTGTCGGGAATCTTGAGGATCCTGCTGGCGTATGTTACGCCAACAGTCCCGTTCGGCCCTTGCACCCCCTTGATCTTCCTCTGTGAGTACCTCACCGCATCCACCTTAAACTTCAGGGGGTAGCGATTCCTTTGGCTTCCACCACCAAGCTCGGGGATCGGGAAGTTCGGCGGCTCCAACTCCAGCTGCCCTTTCTTCCTCTTGCCCTTGTTCTGTGCCGGCGTACCAAAGAGAACGCCGCCGAACCCATCTCCCCACTTTGTCTCTCCGGGAAACATCATATCGCCGGATGCAGCATCGTTGGCCACCGGCGCTCCTCCCGCTGCCGGCGTTGCTGCTGCCGGTGCTGGAGCTGGCGCCGATGCTGGAGCTGGCACCGGTGCTGGAGCTGGCGCCGGTGCTGCTCCTGATGGAGGCGCTCCGGGTTTGCCGCCCACCCTACAGAAGACAAAGGGAGACAAATATGCGCGGGAAGGTNACCACGCCGCCAACGTCGCCTTGTCGGGAATCTTGAGGATCCTGCTGGCGTATGTTACGCCAACAGTCCCGTTCGGCCCTTGCANTTGTACGTGTCCGCTTCCGCCAGCGCGGCTTCGTACTTGGCGACGTTCTTGAACCACGCCGCCAACGTCGCCTTGTCGGGAATCTTGAGGATCCTGCTGGCGTATGTTACGCCAACAGTCCCGTTCGGCCCTTGCACCCCCTTGATCTTCCTCTGTGAGTACCTCACCGCATCCACCTTAAACTTCAGGGGGTAGCGATTCCTTTGGCTTCCACCACCAAGCTCGGGGATCGGGAAGTTCGGCGGCTCCAACTCCAGCTGCCCTTTCTTCCTCTTGCCCTTGTTCTGTGCCGGCGTACCAAAGAGAACGCCGCCGAACCCATCTCCCCACTTTGTCTCTCCGGGAAACATCATATCGCCGGATGCAGCATCGTTGGCCACCGGCGCTCCTCCCGCTGCCGGCGTTGCTGCTGCCGGTGCTGGAGCTGGCGCCGATGCTGGAGCTGGCACCGGTGCTGGAGCTGGCGCCGGTGCTGCTCCTGATGGAGGCGCTCCGGGTTTGCCGCCCACCCTACAGAAGACAAAGGGAGACAAATATGCGCGGGAAGGTACGAAGCGGTCAATGTTGGAACGCACGGAAACGTGTGTCGTGTGGGCGGAAACCAAAGCTGTTTCTTCACAAAGAGTATGCTGATTCATTTTTTGGTCGACAAGGGCACCGTGTCCAATTTTCCAAAAACGTTTGGCGGTTGAAAGTACACGTTAGGGTGAACAACAAATGTGCATAGCAGCCCCATGGAAAATTAATCAGGGTGGTATGGAGATGCCAGCTGCAAACAAAGCTGCGGCATTTCCACGACACGCAACGGCATTCAGGAACAAAAATCATACACAAAAAACAACTTGAGATGTGTACAATACCGACGAATGACCATAAAAATATTACAAACGAAACAAATACGAAATGGGCACGCAACGACAGAATCATTTTCCGGGAGCGTGTGGGAAAAAAAAAGCCACATGCACACAAAACAACCTACACAACGTGTACCAGAACGTGTGGTTAAAAAAGGGACTGCACACAAAATAACTCTCAAAAAAATGTGTATGGGAACGTGTGGCGCAAAAAAAAATGAAAAAAAATCACGAACGCTGGAGTGTGCGGGTGGTGCAAAAGCCAGCCCACAATTACACATTTCGAGACCACACGCGGACTGATACTACGCCAAATCCACAAAGCACATGTACACTTACTTGGATCGTTGTTCCGTGCCGACGGAAGTGCTGGGCCCCTGGTCCACCATGTCCACCCCCTACTGAGATGCTTGGCTGGTGCGCGTTGACTCGGCTGCTGCCGTGCTCGCACGTGCTGCTGAGAGCAAGAGAGCAACTGGCTGCTGCTGAGGCGATGCGGGGGCTGTCATGTTGGCGCCTGTTGCTGCTCCAGCTCCTGCTGCCGTTAGATCAGCAGGAGCAGGAGTAGGAGCCCCTTGCGTAGAAGAGGTGTGGGCGGGCCCAAAGAAGGAGGTCATCTGCTGTGGCGCCTGCGCTGCTGCAGTCGAAGCAGTTGTCGAAGGAGCGGAGGTACTTGCGGCTGCATTCTGCTTTGCCTGCACGTTCATATTGGGGGTCTTCATGCGGGGTGTTTCCCCGCACACAGCTGACGTGGGTGTGTGTGGATTGCCCAGGGCAGATGCGGTCACCCCGGTGATTAGAAGGAGGGGCCCCGTGACTATATGCGGCGTATCTAAAAATATCACTGGGGTCTGTTATCTTAGGGAGCCGGTATACGAGACCCTAGGGTCCCGTATATAAAACGCGACCC